AGTAGCCCAAGAGTTGGCGGGGATGACTAGCTGCCTTCCCTCTAGGCTTACACTGCCAAATTAGGGACGGCTAGCGCAGATAGCCCTCGTGTAGCTTTGTGCGAAATTCAAAAACAAACAAACAAACAAAAAAACAACAACAAACAACACATCTCGTTATCGCTTTCGACTCAGTTATTGGTAGATTACAATGTAAATATAACAGTGGTGTAATTTGTCTTCTCTACAAATCTATGTCCCCAATTAACTGTATTCATAAAGCTTAATTTTACAATTACTTTTTAAAAATAATTACACATGTTATACATAACTTGTATTTTTGCAGTTAAAACATGAATCAAGTTCAATTAGAAGTTACATTTATTTATTTATTTTATTTTATTCAGTTGTGACCCAGGTTGTAGGCGTGTCCTTCTCACTGATTAGCCTGACTAACGTAGTGACGTCCTTTGAAATAGAGAACTACCAGAAAAGAAAAATACAAGAAGTAATAGCAGCGGCACCTATCGCAAGAAGTGATATGGAAATTTCTGAGGAAGATGAAAAACACAGCGAAGTTTGTTGTGTTGGCATAGAATTTCTCTGGTGGTTTTTTTCAATTGGTGCACGTGTCATCGCCTTGGCGATGTTTGGTTCCGTATATACTTATTGGCTGTTTCTGGTATGTGGCCTCCACGTGTTAATTATGTCCACTTTTATACTGGTGTACAGTTTGGATAGTGCAAAAGGAGAGAACGTTGTACTTGCTTTGTTTATGGGGTTTATCTACATCTTCTGCTTTGTTGAGTACAAGGTGAACTTTAGTCAACTCGGTAAAATAGCAGCGTTATATATCCTCTATTATATTTTAAGCTTTACTGAAAACACTGTGATGATATTATTGGCATACTTTACTGCCCCCAGAAGCTACTGGTTTCATCCAACTATACTAATTTGCCATTTCGTCGGTTTTTTCCTGGGTGTTGTCTTCATGTTATTCTACTTGGGCCTCTTCAGACCATTTCACTTGAAACAAATTCGTAAAATGTTCTCGCCAGTGCCACCCAGCAAAGGTGGCAATGAGTAAGGCTAAGGTTCAGAATTTTACTAAACTGTAAACATAAAGACAAATGTTCACTCACACTATTTTACTAACTAACAGTTAGGGCCAAAGTAAGACAGATTCGAAATTCTAAGTTTATTACGAACAAACGTTTTAACGTCCATCATGGATAAGAGTACGATGTTATTAAAAGCACAAGAACCAATGATTAACTGTATGGAGTCTTTAAATCACAATTCTTGGTTTTAAAGTAGTCTGTCTACATTTTTATTCATTCATGTATTCCTTCTTTTAAAGATTATTTCATAAGACGTTAAAATACGCACACACACGTAGTCTTTAATTTGTGCCAAATAGGTCGGATTCTACACGCAAAATAATAGGATCTTATACCTCACTCAGCAGCACAATAGGGCATATCATCATCATTATACGACTCATGTAAAATATCAAGAGATAATACAGTTTCAGTTAAAATATATATATATTTTAGGATAAAGCTAATCAGTGACTGGATCACGGTACTAGCGTGAGAAAAATGTTCTGTCAGCAGTCGCTCTAATCCGATTAAATATGAATTTGTATCAAACTTTGTTGTCTAGCCAGTAGAAAAAATCGTCACTTAAGTAATCTAAAAGTATACAATATCGCTCAACAGTGAGGCCTTAATTGCAACTGGTGATTTTAATAAATTTATTTTATCGTGGTAACCAACTGTAATTATTTTCATGAAAATTTCTTACTAATGTATTTTTCAGTCAAATGCTATTTCGTTTTCGTGATCTTTATTTTATGGTAAAGTTGATTATTTCCATACATTTTGTGTCAGTAAATGTTTGTTCATACATTATCGTGTGTCTCACATTAACAAAATCAAATAAAAGTTGCAGTAAAAACTAATGTTTTTACAACTCCTATTGACCAACAAATACTGTCGGGATCAATGAACCCGTTTCCACACACGGACCATTTACCAAAAGATAATACAATTAAATACTGTGAGTTCACTCTGTTACTCTTAGAACTGAAGCACACGTACAATTACAAACTTCTTATAAGTTTTCACCAAAAGAAAACTTCGAATTGATTATGTGTCTCAAACGTAATACTAATTAATTGTTCAAGATGCTATCGAGGAAAACCTTAAGAGCAATGAAAACGTTGCGCCACGTCAAGATCAACTTTTTATTCCATAGAGAGACAGGATTCTAACAACGAGGGTAATGGCTAGAAAATATAGGTTTAGTTTCCTTCGCAAAACGTATAATAAAACAAAAACAAATGTGGAAAATATATAAAATACCAGATTGCCAAAATCAAATGGCAGTTAATTCTTTGTTGTGAAGTTCCAACCCATAAGTTCACTGCGAAAAAGATTGGGTTTGTTTTCTACTATAAACAAGATGTTTGGAAATTATATCAATAACATTTTTTACTTTTGTTTTAGAAACAACAGCCTTGAACCTCTGCTACGATGACCACCATAATTTCATTTAATCAACGGAGGTACACTGTAGTATGCATAGATTTATTTGTTTTAGTACAAAGCTACAATAAGTTTAGGAGTTGAAAGTCCGTAAACGTACCACTGACACACCAGGGGACAACATATGTGGAATATTACACCACTACGACATGGGTTCCAGAGAGGTTTCTACACATTCTTAACTAAATGTCAAGTTTTGTTAATATACTTGGTACAAAACGTGCTTGAGTTTATATTAAAATAACTTATGTACAACCTTCTGCACGGTACAATACTTCCACGAGTTTATATGTTTAGCCACAAAAACGAAACAGTAACTAACCTTTTTTTTTCAACAATACAGTTAATTAATGGCCAGAAAATAAAAGTTTAGTTTCCTTACCAAAACGTATGTTGGTTGATGAACTGGATACAACATATTATATTAAATAGTATAAACTTAATTTATTGGCAATTTTTTTATCCTCTGCGTTGTACTTTAAGATATTTTTTTATGTTGCTACACGTCTGGCAAAATCAAGATGATGAAACAACAAAACTGATGACCATATTTATTTCATCCACAGTAAATCAATAGTCCTCATAGGTTGGTTACAAAAATCCATTTCATTATAGTCCATCTATTTAGAATGTACTAAGAGATAATATTTACATGCACCATACTCAGTTTACAGGTTTATTAGACTGCTTAAAATACATAATATTAATAATAATAAAACCTTTTTAAGGATAGAAACTTAGAATGTAACATATTTAGCAGTGTTTATGATTTTATTTAAACTACACAGACTTATGCCACAACTGCCAAGTATTCTCACAAACATTGACTACAGAAGTACTGAGAATGAAAAAAAAAAAAAGATTAGGTTAATCTTATGTTTTAAAAATAGAAAAAAAAGTAGCTAATTCTAGAAACTTTGAAATTTTAAGAGCTAAATTTTACATATATGTAGGCACCTAAAATAACAGGAACAATCCTTCTGGATTTTACTTCATAACCACCAAACGATTTCACCCAAATTAAACATCTGGTTGGTAGACAGATAATTACAAAATGATTTTGGTCTTTAGAGAGAGACTGTGATGTTCTGATGCTAAGACATATTCAGTGGTGCTATAACTTGAATGATATTAGTTCCAGGCACCCAACTAAACACATAAAACTATCATTTGAGAACCAAGTAGAGCTAGCAACAGCCATTTTTAACATATTTATTACATTTGTTAAATTAAGCTTCCAGATTACCTATTTTATTTTTAAATAATTTGAATAAATATACTAAATTTAACTTTACTTTTTAGGATTAGTACATCTTGTGTTGTAAAAGTATAGAATAAAAGTTAAATGGCCAAATGTCACGAAAAGTGTAAGTAAGGGTTAACACACACAGAACTGCCAAACAAAAGATCAAATTGTGCATGGTTTCCGTATTAATTTTCGTTTTAGGTGTGGCAAGTCTTTTGTGCATTTTCTAAAAGAAAAAAGTAGTATTTCATTTTAGCTTTATTTTTGTGCTTCCATGATTAGTTCTTAAGAACACCCATAAACTAAATACAATTGTCAGAGTGACAAAAACTAACCCTAGGATTTTTATTACTAGGACTAATAGTGGGTACTTTATATAAAGGCAAAATAAACACTGATTAAAATAAACAAACAGGTATAATTATAATTTAATCAAGCATGGACATAAGTCGGCGATTATTATACGGAAAGTGCAAAATTTTTGGAAGCTGTATTTACTAAAACAGAAAATTAGTTATAATATTTCCAATTAAATTATTTAAGATTATTTTGAATACAAAAATAATGTCTTAAGGGGATGGCATGTGCCAACTACATGTACTATTTATTAATAACTGAAAAACAAAATGTAGCAGGACTCAGTTTATATAAATGTGATACGTAAATAAATTATATTATGATCTATTCAGTAGCACTACATTCATATCACTTGCAGCATTTGGAACAGTTCCTCGTTTAAGTTTATTCAATCCAAGTCACAGTATGAAATGCATGCTGCTTTTGAGATAATGGAATAGTAATGGTTGATGTCACATTAACGAGAGCTTCACAGTATGAATAATTCTGTCCCACCAATCATTTTATTACTTACACATTCAATAGTTGAAGATCACAGCCAAGACGATGGATAACATATTCAGGCATACAGAACACTGGATTAACTTCTTTGAGTGTCTGATCTCCTAACAATGATAATCCAGCTAATCCAAATAATGTGTGGAAAGGGTCAACCTACAACAAAAAAAAAACAATATTACAGAATATACCAGCTAATCCATACAGTGTGAATAAATCTAGAAATAATATACCATAGGAAATACCAGCTGATCTATATACTGTGAGAAAAGGGTATACCTACAAAAACAAGAACATAATATACAGGCTAGTCCATACAGTGAAGAAACCTAGAAAACAAAAAGCATACCAGTTCATACTTGCTAGCTCACAAAATGTGAGAAAAGGGTCAATCTAAGATGGAAAAAATCTAATCAGTCACCAGTTCAAAAAACGTGAGTGGAAAGGGTCTACTCAGGGCAGAAAACATCAACATTGTTTATTTTGAAAAATCAATGAAAAATTTATTCATAATCTATGAGGTTCATGTAAAAACGTTTTTTTTTTTAAATATAACTCAGCAATGCTAATTTCATTTGACAATATTAAGGATGTTGGTTACTTTTATGTGTCAGATTTAGAAAATAGTGTTGCACATGAAGAGATACTATAATGAATAAATCAATTTGTATACCAAATTTCATAAAGTTTAGTTGAAGGATTAAAACAACACATGTTTTGCTTGTATTATGGCTCTTTGATAACTGATATTTCTAGTAACTGGTTCAGACAATTTCTCATATGTCAGATAAGTTATTAATACACAAAGAGAAGAAAGTTTTATTATTCTAGTGGTAAATTAATTACCGAACGTAACTCTAATTACGGAAAAAAAATCAGGGAGACAGAAATTTTTAATTTTTAAAAAGTCACAGAAAAAAGTAAAAGGACTGACAACTGACGTTATAAATAAATGCACACACACACTCCTGTGTACATGTACAGATCTTAGATTAACTAAAGAAGGCATAAACCAGGATACACATTTTCACTTACAAACAGCATGATTAATCATATTTATTAATTCAAACTATACAATCAACTTGTACTTAAGTATACTTTGAATTATTTGAATATCTTAAGATATTCAAAATTTCCTTCACAGCATCACTTGTTGAATTCTACAAAATAAAGATGGCTGAATTATTTAATAAAAAACTACAAAGAGAAGAAATCAGGATCATTGTTAGACAACATGAGCACTATTACTAACAACTACAGATATTCTGTGAATATCAAGCAAGTGGCAGTGGGTTGTATTTCCATTGTGATGATGTGTTTAATTGTTAGGCTACATATTTTGAAGAATTGAGTAAAACAAAGACAATTATATGTTTCACATAATATTTAATTTATTAATACCATGGTTTCACCCATAAATGAATTGTCAAACACCTTTATGGTTAAATCCATGGTAATAATTGAAATATTTGTGAAACATACAATTGTCTTTGTTTTTCTCAATTCTGTAACTATGGAGTTTCATCAGGTACTAATGAATTTAAGTATCAGTTATACACATTTTGGATTTGATCATTCATACATTTGTAAGAAAAATAACATCCTAAGTGCAATCGAAAGTGTAAACTGTTTGTTTGTTATGAATTTTGTGCAAAGCTACATGAGGGCTATCTGCGCTAGCCATCCCTAATTTAGCAGTGTAAGACTAAAGGAAGGCAGCTAGTCATCACCATCCACTGCCAACTCTTGGGCTACTCTGTTACCAAAGAATAGTGGCATTGACCATCACATTATAACACCCCCACGGCTGAAAGGGCAAGCATGTTTAGTGGAATGGGGATTTGAACCTGCGAGTCGAGCACCCTAACCATCTGCCCATGTAAACTGAAATAGGTTACATGTTTTGTATAGAGTAATTACTGTCTTACACTGCTGCTGGGCTCACTCTTACAATCACATACAGTTGTGATATACAGGCAAGCTGCCAGTTTTTAAAATTGAAAAATTACAGGCTGAATTGACTAAAATATAGGCTATTTTTAGGGAAACCTATCATGCAGAAGTGTTATACTATAATCCTATAGAACCAAATATGGGCATATATTTTAAACATATTGTTTTCCACCTTCTTTCTCTCAATTCAGTATAATCTTTCATATCTTGTAGCTGATAATACTCATATGTCACTGGCCACAACAAGTGTCTACATCAGAGCACATGTATGACAGCTACAACTAAGAACTGACTTCTAAGTTCTATTTCTATAAATATACATTTTTACAGGCTGAAGCATTAAAAATGGACTATTACAGGCTCTTTCAGCAGTTATACAAGTCTTAAAGGTTGAGTTTCTGAAAAACAGATTTGCTGGAATTCTTTGGTGTATTTAAACATAATATAATGAATATCATTATAGGGCAATAATTCTTCGTAGATGCACAAATG